ATAGTTAGACCGAATGTGAGATCGATTGTGAGCTCGATAGTGAGATCGATAGTGAGATCGATTGTGAAATCGATAGTCAAATCGATTGTGAGATCGATCGAATGACATAGATCGAGTGAGATCGATCGTGAGATCGTTCGAGGGAGATTGATCGAGCGAGACCGATAGTGAGATCGATAGTGAGATCGACAGTGAGACCGATCGAGTGAGACATTGGTCCCTCCCCCCCCCGAATCTCCTTATCACCCGAAGGGTGGTCGTATAGGTACAGGGAGGATACCAAACAATAGTAAAACATAGTCTGTGGACGATGTGTTTATCTGTCGTCCAACCTCTGCCTGCAGGGGGTGACATGCCCGACCTAAGCGTGGGCTGCATGGTTCGAACAAGAAGGCTCCCAGGCGTCAGGGATCCCCAGCTCTCCTGAGCTGGGTTCTCGCTTCGAATTCGGCACTGCTTGCGAGATCCTCCCGCCTCCTCCCGCATCCTCTTCCTCCTCATCCACCTCCCCACGTCTCATCATCGTCTCATCATCGTCTCATCATCGTCTCATCATCATCATCATCATCATCATCATCATCATCATCATCATCATCATCATCGTCATCGTCATCGTCATCGACATTGTCATCATCATCATCAGCATCATCATCATCAGCAGCAGCAACATCATCATACCCACCATCATCATCATCAGCAGCATCATCCTCAGCCTCATCCCCATCCTCATGCTCATCCTCATCCTCATCCCTTTCCTCTCCTCTCCTCTCTTCTCCTCCTCCTCTTCCCTCTCCCCCTCCACAGCGCGCAAGCTTCACCTCTTTCGCGGGCTCCTGGGAACGCCCGCGGAGTGGAGTTGGTCCCCGATCCAGCCGAGACCTCGCGGCTCCCTGGGGCTGCGAAGTTCAATTGCCGCCACTTTCGTGGGCTTCTGGCAGGCCCTGCGGGTCCAGCCTAAGCCTCGCGGCTCCCTGGATATTTTGCGAAGTGTGCAACCGTCGCCATGTTGGTGGGCCGCTCGGAGGTCCCGCGGAGTGGAGCTGTGCGCGGATCCAGCCGAGACCTCGCGGCTCCCTGGGGGCTGCGAAGTGCGCAATTGGCGCCAGTTGAGGGGACTCTTGGGAGGTCCCGCGGAGTGGGGTGTCATGCGCCGTTCACCTCGCCGAGGCCTCGTGGCGCCGTGGTGGGTTGACAGCTGCACAACTGTCGTCACTTTTGTGGGCTCCTGGGAGGCAGACGGGAGCGGGGTGTCACGCACACCTCGCTGAGACCTCGCGGCACCCTGGGGGGTTGCCAGTTGCGCAATTGTAGTCATTATCGTGGGCTCCTCGGAGGCAGCGCGAAGTGGGGTGTCTCGTACATTTCGCCGAGACCTAGCTGCTCCCTGGGGGGCTGGTAGTTGCAATGTTCGCCGCTTTCCGGGTCTGCTGGGAGGTCCAGTGGGGCGGGGTGTCTTGCATACCTCGCCAAGACCTCGCGGCGCCCTCGGGGGGCTGCCACTTGCGCAACTTTCGCCACTTGCGTGGGCTACTGGAAGGCAGGGCGGAGCGAGGTGTCACGCACACCTCGCCGAGACCTCGCGGCGCCCTGGGTGGGCTGGCAATTGCGCAATTGTCGCCGTCTTCTTGGGCTTTTGGGAGGTCCAGCGGATGAGCTTGTCACGTGCATCCATGCGAGACTTCGCGGTTCTTTCGGGGGGGGGGTCCTACGCAATTGCTGCAATTTTTCATGATTTTTGGGGGATTCAGCGGAGTGGGGTGTCTCGTACATTTCGCCGAGACCTAGCTGCTCCCTGGGGGGCTGGTAGTTGCAATGTTCGCCGCTTTCCGGGTCTGCTGGGAGGTCCAGTGGGGCGGGGTGTCTTGCATACCTCGCCAAGACCTCGCGGCGCCCTCGGGGGGCTGCCACTTGCGCAACTTTCGCCACTTGCGTGGGCTACTGGAAGGCAGGGCGGAGCGAGGTGTCACGCACACCTCGCCGAGACCTCGCGGCGCCCTGGGTGGGCTGGCAATTGCGCAATTGTCGCCGTCTTCTTGGGCTTTTGGGAGGTCCAGCGGATGAGCTTGTCACGTGCATCCATGCGAGACTTCGCGGTTCTTTCGGGGGGGGGGTCCTACGCAATTGCTGCAATTTTTCATGATTTTTGGGGGATTCAGCGGAGTGGGGTGTCTCGTACATTTCGCCGAGACCTAGCTGCTCCCTGGGGGGCTGGTAGTTGCAATGTTCGCCGCTTTCCGGGTCTGCTGGGAGGTCCAGTGGGAGATCTCGCCAAGACCTCGCGGCGCCCTCGGGGGGCTGCCACTTGCGCAACTTTCGCCACTTGCGTGGGCTCCTGGAAGGCAGGGCGGAGCAAGGTGTCACGCACACCTCGCCGAGACCTCGCGGCGCCCTGGGGGGGCTGGCAATTGCGCAATTGTCGCCGCCTTCGTGGGCTTTTGGGAGGTCCAGCGGATGAGCTTGTCACGTGCATCCATGCGAGACTTCGCGGTTCTTTCGAGGGGGGGGGTCCTACGCAATTGCTGCAATTTTTCATGATTTTTGGGGGATTCAGCGGAGTGGGGTGTCTCGTACATTTCGCCGAGACCCTGCGAAGTCTTGGGGGGGGGGGCAGCTGCGCAACTGTCGTCACTTCTGCGGGCTCCTGGGAGGTCCAGCGGAGTGGGGTCCGATGCGGACCTGGACTAGCGCAAGTCGTAGGCTCCTGGGGGGCAGGGCGCAGCGGAGGGCGGCGCAGATCGCGCACGGCTCGCGATGTGCTCTCGCATGGAGCGTGCATACAAACAGTCGCCTCGGGAGGAGAGAGGGGTTTCTGCACGCCTCGTGTGCTCTCTCACTGATGCTATCAGGCAAGGGGCTCACGCAAGTCTGCAGACCCCCTAGGAATTGTGAGGTGGCAGCAGTTCGCCACTCGTGCGAGCCTGGCTGTAGCGTTTGCTGGCAGTCCAGCGGCTTGCGGTCGGTCCCGCCGCCGTGCCTTTCAGTGAGTCTTGTGGGGAGCGCATCTGAACATGCATGATGTACGTTTTTGCCCTTTTGGAGGGAGGCCAGGAAAGGCCGCCCAAGGCACCTAAAGGCGACTGCAGGCAGCTAGTAGTGCACTCGGGCCGCCGAAGACGACCAAAGCTCGAGACGGTACATGTTAGAATAGGCTGCACAGTTTGGCTTGGGTTTTCCTTTGGTTTTCGATGGGAAATCCAAGCTTAACTTTTGGGATCAAGGGGCCTCGTTTCTTATTTAGGGTTCCTTAGGTCAACGCCCCGACATTATAGCCCTAAAAAGATTATGGTCGTTTTTTTGTCTCTCGTGTCATGTTAGAATGAGCCTTCAAAAAGACTAATCTAAGTGCCTGGCGTGTGGCTCAGAGGCTTCTTGGCGCCAGCAGGGGCCTCTCGGGAGAAGCCTTCGTAGGGTCTCGGAGGCAGGTTCCGCGGCCTCTCTTGGGGACCGCTTGGGGGCCTTGGAGGGCCTCTTATGCCAGGCGATCGCAAGCATGGATCACGAGGGCGTGGACTAGCGACGGGTCCCGTTTCCATTTTGGAAATCGCGGATTTTCGCCGCCAAGCGAGGCGGCACAGGCTGCATTTTGGGGAGGGCACCTCCCGCGATCCATGGATTTGGCGACCGCGCGCCAAATCCATGGATCGCGAATCCATGTTCGCGCGCCCCGGATTATGGGCCTCTTGGGAGCCTCCTGGGGCATCTTGGTGGTCTCTTGGGCGCCTGCTGGCGGTTTCGGGTTTCCTCTTGGGGCGGGGGGCTCGAAATTTCAGTTCGGTTTCTCCTCTTGGGGCCTTCTTGGGCCGTTTTGGGCGCCTCTTGGACCGTCTCCGGCCCTAATGGGCAATATTGGGCCTCTCTCAGGGGCTGGGCCATCTTGGTGCGATCTTGGGGGCCTGTTGGACCGTTTTGGACACTGTTCAAACTAAAAAGGCAAATCTGCTAACAAGACAGTTTGTCCCATGGGATTGGGAAGATTTTGGCCTCTTGGGGCCCTCTTGGAGCTCTCTTGGGGCGTCTTGGATGCTTCTCGGGCTGTCTTGAAGCGTGTTGGTGCCAAGGGCTCGTCGGCGTGTTTGTGCCCAGCTTGTGCAAGCTCGGATGGAAGAGTGGATCTCTTAGAGACCACGGGGTGTAGATTTGGAGATGTGGAGGCTCCAGAGGCCCCAAGGCGCGCGTAAGGGGAGCCCGGAGATCGCCTCCCCCCCTCCCCCCCGGAGACACCCCCCCCCGTCTGCTGCCCCGTTGAATCGGATGTGTGACCCTGGTCGCGGGGGAAAGGGGGAGGGGGACAGCCGACGGCGAATCGTTATCTGTCTGCAACCGGCCCCGCAGCCCCACCCCCCTCGGATTGCCTGCGTGTTCACGCTTGGTTGCGAGGTCGGTTGATGTCTTGTGGTTTGGACTGCATTTGGTTCGGCCTGTTTGCTGTCTGGTCGGCAGTTGTGTGGGGACTGCGGGTCTGGCAGCGCGCTTCCATGGTAAATGTCAATGGCTCGTGTCTTCGGGAGAGCGCACCCCTGACCATGAGGATGTTTTGCCTCGGGTCCAAAGCCGAGTTCTGAGGCTCACAGGGAGAAGACAAGGGACTGAAGTGCGCCGTCCCGAGCAAATATGCAAACATGGAAAAGTGTCAGTTCTCTGCTTTGGAGGGTGGAGGGCGCTTTGGGGTAGCCTCCTCGCCGCTTGTTCGTAGGCTCGGGAATGCGTATGCGCTGCGATTCATGATGGAAGTGGTCTCGAGAGCGCGAACCCATTGTAATTTTACTGGGGATGTGGCCTCGGGTGCGAGAATATGTTGTAATGTATTAGGGGTTGTGGCATCGGGAGCGCCATCTGCTGGGGAGACCTTACAAGAGATCTGCAGTTGAAACACAACCGCCATGTAGATTCCGTAAGCAATTTCGGCTCAAGATGTGACACGCTGTCACGGGAACAGGCGAGAAATTGAGGTGTGCATTCTGACCACCGTCCACCGTTGGATTAGATTGGGATCAACCAGCATGCGTCGTTGCGGCTGTTGTTGCAAATTTGTATGTGTAGTATGTTGCCTAGTTATGATGCTAGTGGCATTCGTAACAAGCTTTTTTGGATCATACGGCATGTGGGCCATGTACGAACTTCATGTCAATCTACACAGGGACTTCCTGATTGCCCTTTCCATGACGTTCAATCTCATGCTCCAAGAGCGTTGTGTAATGGCTGAGGACCGTCATTTCCGTCCAGATGAGTTGCCATGGACACATGAAATGCAGCAGAATTGGAAAGTCTTGAGAGATGAGTTTTATGAATTCGTATCTCGTGGGGGACCGGTACCTGCTTTTTATGAGCTGGAGGCACAACAAGAGAAACTCGTTGGAGGTGAGTGGGGGTCGTTGTGGCTGAAGGTGTATGGCCAAAATTTGCCTGTTCTGGAGGAACACTTCCCTCGCACCACAGCTCTGCTACAGAAGACACCCATCAGTTCGGCTATGATCTCGATTCTTGGACCAGATTCTCATGTGAAGCCCCACAGCGGAGATTGGAAAGGTGTTTTGCGATACCATATTCCCCTTGAGTTGCCCGAGAAAACTCCCTCTTCACCGTGGAGCAACATATCCGTGAAATGGACCCATCGTGGAGTTGAGAATAAAAAGCTTCCTTCGGGCTTGTACGTATCATCTGACTTCAATCAGATTTCCGATCGTTTCCAGAACGACGATTGGACTGGCCAGCAGCTGAATTTTTGGCACAAGGGCTGGGCGGCAGGTGAACACTTCCTCTTCGATGACCTCTTCCCACACTTTGTCAAGAACGGAGATGGGCACGGAAGGCGCGTCATGTTCTTCGCTGATGTCCCGCGCCATGATTGCGGGTGGAGGAGCCACGTTATCACGTTGTGTGCGCATTCTGTCCTGAAGAGAATCCACCCAAGGATCATGAACCTAATCCGGCGCGCTACTCGGTTCAATCCTCCTGGCACGAAGCTCACGGAGCTCTGAACCACCGTCTTACATCCAGTACGGCTATCTTTGCAGATTGTTCAGCAGTTGTTGCCCTGTTTGGTTGTTCGCGTAGCCATCCTACATCGGTCATATTTTCCATAGTCGCCGGTGGGGAGTTGGCTGCCTTGCCTGCGGGCGCCCCCGACCCCATCATGTGGGCCTGCCTCCGTGCACCCGCAATCCTCGGGGCCGGGAGCAACGCTGGCGTGCGCAAGCGGCAACGCACGCTCTGCTGCTGCAGCCTGCGCTTCAGGACGTCGAACTACGGCAGGGGAACGACAAATGGCATGAGCATAGAAAACTCGGAGGTCCGCGCGGATTTCTCGGACCGGTGCTGGACCCCCCTCCCTGGCGCGCGGACCGCGCCAGGGGCGGCGCCGGAGGTGACGCCAGGGGGGTCCAGCGCAGATCCGAGACGTCCGCGCGGACCTACGAGGTTCCATGCTTATGTGGTTGTTCGTTCCCCAAGTCAGGACATCAAACTGTGGGCTCGCAAGAGCCCTTCGTCCTGCCTCTTTTTATTAGCTTGATCTCCACCACCACCACCATAAGTTGGAAGGGGGAAGGAGGTGGAGGAGGAGGAGGAGGAGGAGGAGGAGAGAGGAGGAGCGAGGAGGAGGATGAGAAGGAGGAGGCCGTCAGGCCGGCAAATTTTCAGATTGCCGCTACGGGGGCGAGCCGTACTGCCTGGGCCCCGGGTGGCACCGCCCCGTTATGCGGTGTGCTGCCAATGACGTTCGCGGAGGCAGCTCCCCGTCACACACGCAGTCCTGCCCTCCCCTGGGCGGGTCGTGCGTGGCGGGCCCCTCCCTCCCCCCCCTCCGTCGTCCCCCCGTCGTCCGTCGTGTCGTTTTGGGTCTTGGGTCCGGGTTTTTAAAACCGCGCCCTTGGTGGCGCAGGTCTCCCGTGGGCCCCCCTCAGCCTCCCCGGCTGGGGCCCCACCCTCTGGGAGTCGTGGCCGGGGGTCCTCTCCCCCCACCTCCAAGGTTCCTCTGAGGAGCGGCGCGCGCGTTGGCGCGCCGCGGGGCTTGGTCGGGGCGCTCGAGGCTGTGACTCGCGCTTCCACTTGAGAAGAAGAAGAAGAAGATGAGAAGGAGGAGGAGGAGGAGGACGAGGAGGACGAGGAGGAGGAGGAGGAGGAGGAGGACGAGGAAGACGAGGAGGACGAGGAGGACGAGGAGGAGGAGAAGGAGGAGAAGGACGAGGAGAACGAGGAAGAGGAGGAGGAGGAGGAGGAGGAGCGAGGAGGAGGAGCGAGGAGGAGGACGAGGAGCGAGGAGGAGGAGGAGGACGAGGAGGAGGAGGAGGAGGAAGATGACGAGGACGAAGAGGGTGAGGAGGAGGAGGAGGAGGAGGAGGAGGAGAGGAGGAGGAGCGAGGAGGACGAGGAGGACGAGGAGGACGAGAAGGACGAGGAGGGGGAGAAGGACGAGGAGGAGGAGGAGGAGCACGAGGAGGAGGAGGATGAGCGAGGAGGAGGAGCGAGGAGGAGGACGAGGAGCGAGGAGGAGGAGGAGGACGAGGAGGAGGAGGAGGAGGAAGATGACGAGGACGAGGAGGACGAGGAGGAGGAGGAGGAGGAGGAGGAGGAGGAGGAGCAGGAGGACCCTCTCCCCCTCCTACTTGTGGTGGTGGCGGTGGAATGCAAGTCCAACCTTTCTCTGGGGAGGAGGAGGAGGAGGAGGAGGAGGAGGAGGAGCTGCAGGACGTCGAGCTGTGGGCTCGCAGGTGCCCTTCGTCCTTCGGCGCTGCCCAGAGCGGCAGGCCCGCGGGCCGCGCGCCCTGCCGCGGGAGGCCAGTGCGCCTCCGCGTCGCCGCCCTGTGGGTGGGTCGGACACTGGAGCATATGTTCAACACCCAGGACGAATGTGCGCGGCGCCCAGGCGAGAGCCACATGTCGAGAAGGAGCCGCTGTGTGATTTGAGTCTAGAGGCCCGTGGTTTTCAATGCCGATGCTCAACTAGACTCCCTGGGCTTGAAGGTCACGAGCATGGGTCGTAACCATTTTGGCTCAAGACCCAACTTCTACTCATTCCTCATCATTCATACCACATCCCACCTTCCATCCCTTTCCCCATACCGTTCTGTGCTTGATCTGTGCAGCGTTGGAAGCTGTGTACTGACTAGAGAGTGCGAAGGTTCTCTTGCTGGAGAAGAAAGGATCCGACACTTTGGCTCCATCGCTGTCGTCTGTTGGGGGACAGTGGTAGCGGAGCTGTGAACAGCTCTGGGTCCGCGGACCAATGACGGCAGCAGCGGGGCAAGGTGCTAATCGGGGGACACAGCAAGACAAGAAGGACGAGGGGAGCATTCCGCAGTACGAACAGTGACCGACACACTGATGAGGCATGACGTTCTCAACCTCGACCAGGACGAGGCAGAGAAGTTGGCACGTCTTTTACTATTAGACGTGGTGCCGGCCAGTTCCCAGAGTCACCAGCGAGACTCACACGGGGACGGCGCCAGTGGACAGTGGCAAGGCCACGGACAGAGCTCAGGTGCTCCGTGGTCAGGCGCCGAGGATCACTCGTGGACGGGCTGGCAAGCACCACAGCCAGAGCACGAGTTGACGAGTGCCGGGACATGGTCTGGTGGTGGCGCGGCTGCGTCCGCCACCGAGGCGTCCCAGGGCAGGTCGGAGCAATGGCATCCGGGTGGCTGGAGCGGGACGAGGAGCACATGGCACGAGCCAGACCACAAGTCTGGCGAGCAGCAGTGGGCTTCTTCGCGATCCACCTGGACTCCAGCTTCGACCTGGGAGAGCTACGAGGACAGGGCTTGGGAAGACGAGTACCATGGCGGGGGCGACTGGTCGTCCGGATGGAGATGGAGCGACAGCTACCAGGACGGCAAGTGGGAACCCAATAAGCGCTACTCCGGGTACGATGGCGACCGCTCCAGCACGAACACCGGCAAAAACTTCGCCGACCCCGAGAAATGGAGAGGCTGGGGGGACTACCGTATGTGGCGCCGCACAGTGCTGCGCTGGAGGACACTGACGGACGTTCCCTCTCACAAGCAAGCCGATCGCCTCTTCCGCTCTCTCGATCAAGATCTTCAACGGAAACTCGAGGACCTTGACGACGACATGTTGTGTAGCTCATGGGGTTTTGACACTATCATCAAACGCCTTGACTTGATGTCTGGTGAAAGACACGGTGACGAGCGACGGAAGGTCGCTCGAGAGTGCTTACTGGATTATTCACGCAAGCAGGGAGATAATATTACTGACTATTGCGCGCGCGTGGACACGGCCTTCGACAGGGTGGCTACTCAGGGGCTGCCGCTTCCAGATGCGTGGAAACTGATGTTCTTGGAGGAAGGAGTTTCTCTCGACGAGCGCTCGGCACAGATGGTCAAGGTGCTCATGAAGGACCAGAAGGACTACAAGTCAGCTCTCTCGGCCATTCGGGAGATGGACATCTCGCATCGAGAGCATCTCAAAGCACGGAGGACCTACGCCACTATGGGCTCAGAAGGTCCTCCACCTCAGGTGCCTACCTATCAGGTCGACCATGACGACGAGTCTTTGCTCGACTACTCGGATGTCTCTTCCATGAACTCGGACGGGGAAGCAGAGGTCTGGGCGATCCTGGAGTCGGCCGACGTCGAGGAGGACGACGCGCCGGCAGCGCTGGCCGCCATCAACCAGGAGCGCCGCAAGACGTGGAAGCAGAACCGCGACTTGAAGAGAGCTGAAGACCGACCGGAAGTTCTACGATAGGTCTGGACAGAGCCGTGGCAGTGATGGGCGCGAGAACGTTCGCAGGCCCGGCCACAGGGCGGCAGACGGCACGTTCAGAGCGCGGAAGAGCCGCCTTCCGCTTGCTGACTTGATCAAGCGCACGAGATGCCGCATCTGTCATCAGAAGGGACACTGGTCTCGAGAGTGCCCACAGAAGCAGGGCGCAGGGACCAAGGACGAAAAAGGGTCCCCTGCCACAGGCTTGACTTTTCTGTATGTGAACGCTCTAGATCACACCACCTCCCAATGCTTCGATGAGCCTCCTCCTCCAACCTATGCGGTTGCACTGCTTGCTGTAGGTCCCGGGGCCACGGTGGTCGACGCAGCGGCCGGTCAGGGCCTTGTAGGAGAGCAGGCTCTGCAGCAGATCGAGGGGCACTGGGCCTCGAAGGGGTTCGCCGTCCCGAGGGCCCCACCCAGGAACCGAAGTGCGCGCGGAGTAGGTGGGGGGGTAAAGGTCACCCACACCGCTCTGATCCCTCTAGGCATTGAGGGTCGCATGGGGGTGCTGGAGCTGGACGTTCTGGACCAGGGCGTTCCGCCACTTTTGCCGATCGGAATTCAAGAAATGCTAGGTGGAATCGTAGATCTTCCGAACAAGGCTCTGACTTTTACGAAGTTGGGGGTCGCGACGCCTCTGACTAGGCTCCCGTCGGCCCACCGCGCCATACAGGCGGGCAAGTTTTCGGCTCCGGCCAAGGACTTTGAAGTTCCAGCCTCCGTGTTTAGGTTGTACCCTCAGTTGCAGAAGGATGCGTTTCAAGCCAAGAGGAAGTACATCATCGCGTCTTCTGTCAGCATTGGCCAAGGGGGGTCGTACGACGGAAGCTGCTGGGGGAGTCCGATGGGGACGGAAGAGCGCCCGGGGGGGTCCGAACCTTTCTCTGGGAGAATCTCAGGACAGACGAAGTCGGGACGTACGCCGGGGCCTTAGTTGGGCCGGACAGCTCAGGCTCCAGGACCGGTCCTTTAAGGGGTCTGGAGTCGAGCGGCACCTCCGACTCCGCGCTGAGCAGCACGTGTACTTCGGGACTCGCCAGGGCTTCGAGTTCCAGGTCGAGACGTTTCAGAACCAGGGGAGGGTCGACAGCGCGGGGTTGGAGGTGGCCGACGCGGGCCACGATGCCAGCCTCATCTTCATCCACCTTCCCCGCGGAACCTGGGCTCGAGTCACTGAGCTCGCAGCGATTCAGCAACGCCCTCGACAACTCAGAGGCCGATCGGAGAGCAGATCGCGACGCCGCCAGCTGCT